CCCCAAAACCCCAAAACCCCAAAACCCCAACTGCAAAGATAATAAAGGAATTATGAAAGTAAAGATTAAATAAATTACTAAAATCATTATAATTGCTTGCGGATATCAGCTTCTACCCTTATTGCCTCCAGTTTTTATGATATTCTCTGCATTCTTATCATTTTCATCATTTTTAGATGTTGTGGCAGCTATAGAGGCTTTGCCATAGAAATTCTTTTTAAATAAGAATATACTTTGCTTGGTAGGACTAAAGAATCCCATGAACTTTAGATTTTGCAAAGCTACTAAGAACATTTTTCTAATGTCTGCTTGTGAGTATTTAGGATGATTCTTACCCTCAGTTATTTTCAAATTTATCTTTTTGAATAACTCATAAGTAATCACAATGTTGAACTCCTTACCAAAGTATTTATACAGCTCCATAATTATAGTCATATTTTCCTAAGTTGGTAAAATGAAGTCCTCTAAGTTGCTTGCATCTTTATGAAGTTTTGCAGACATTTGAACATTTTAAGTGCAGCATTAGCATTTAAGAATTTTACCTGAATCAATAATAGCCTTAGTCATGTTTCCAGTTATATCTGGATTAAGAGTTTAAGTGGCTTTATTCCAGCCAACAAAGAATAAATGCTTTTGAAGTTGAGTTAGATTCTAATTATAGGCAAGGTACTTATTTATGAATCCTTAAATCCAATCATAGAGCAAAGTCTTATAGTCAGTTTCTGATTTAGGTGCGTATTTCTAACTTAAAATTTATCTTTGTTACTCAGTTAAACTATTTTCAGTTATATTTTAATCAAAGTTGTAGTTTTCAGTAACAGTAATTTGCTTTTGTTTATTGTTAAGCAGCATTTCTTTTCTGTTATTGGACATCTTACTTGTCAGCTACATTTTGGTCATTTGACTGTTTGTCTGTGCTTCATTATTTTGGATTCTATTCAAGGTGTAAATTCCGCTTAGCCTATCCTCAATCTCTAGCAACTCAATTTGTCTAAACTTTGAAGACTTGTTTAAATCGTGTCTGCCTTAAAGAACTTTGATTAGGTTATTAGTGACATATTCTTTGTGGTTAGATATGAAATCAAGTTACTATTTCAAAAAGCCTATTCTTTACTCTTAGTTTCCCTTAGTCAAGAAATTCATAAGGAACTGATATTTGAAAATGTTTCTTTCCTTATTTGAGGTGAAGTCTTAAATGCTCTCAACTAAATCTTAAATGACTTCATAGGCCTTTAACCACTTTCTTTTTGATTTTGAGAAAGACTAGGTTTAATTAACTATTTCTAAGACAAGTGTATTAACTGGCTGTTCAGCTAGCATAATATTTGGTAATTCAATCTACTCTGACATTTTCATAAGTTCATTGTGATTCGAATAAAATCTATCGATTCCCTGCTTCAACTTCTAGCTAAGTGCCATTCTAGTGTCCTAAAAGTTTTTCTCACTAAGCAATCCTATCTGCACATCATGAATAAAGAACAATTCATGTCTCAGAAAGAATTCAGCCATCAAGTATTTCAATATTCTCTTGAATTTCATTACAGACATTCCGTAGACATTAATAATCTCAACTAGATTTTAAATGACTTCAACATCATAGGTAAATATGAACTAGTCACTTAGGATTAGCTTGTATATCACCTCAAATATAATGTTCTTCATACAAGGAAAGTAGAATGTTTTAACTGTCATCTTGACGCAGTTCTAAATCTTTACTCTCATGTGAAACTCATCCTTATTATTGTTCTAGACACCTAGCATTAAGTTAAGCTTCATTGAGTAGGGGATAGACCTGTACTTTTTCATCAGATGGATAAGATCATTAAGTATATTGTGAGGGAAGGTTTTGATATTTTTGATGATTAAGATTATTGGTGAGTTTCGGTCTACTTTCTTGGTGGTTCTTAAAATGTTGTAAATTCCAAAAAAGGATTCCTTGAGAATAATGTCGTTGGTCTAAGAAAACTCCTAGAAATCTCTTAGATTGTCTTGCTCTTCCTTATCTTAAATCTTGTAGATTTCATCTTATTGCAGAGCTTTCTTATTTTAAGATCTTGTCTTGCCCTTCCTTAATTCAATTGATGGGTCAATTTTGAGTTGCTTGCTATTCTAAGTTTCAATAGGTTCAACTTTAAGCTCTGACATTTTATAAACCATTTCCATCTCTTGATCTGGTTTCTAGCCATTTACACTATGATTAAGAGCAATTGAATCAACACTCTAATCTGCCATTGAATAGTTCAGGTGACTTCCTCTTATACTTGAGACATGATCTACAGACTAATCAGGTGCTGATGATTATTAGACAGGCGGATTTAGTGGGAAATCCTCATCTAAATCTTCATCATTACTCTCCTCGCTGTAATTAATCATTTCTATTTTCATCTTGATTGGCTGAAAATTTTCTGTGTCTGAGCCATTGTTCCCTTATCCATTTTCCTTGTCCTAAAAAGCATTAGTAAATATCCTAAAAACTGATTTTCCCTTACAATTAAACCAAGAGCTTATTTAAGTTTATTCTATATGTGATCGATTGTGCTTTTCATGTTCCCGCATTTTTTCTCGTCTAATACTAGATTCACAGCTTTCGTTGATCCCTTGAGTTCCTCACAAAGAGTAGTGAACTAAGTATCTATACTCGATGCGCTCTCAGAACTTGTGATTACAAGACAGGTAGGTACTTGAGAATCAAACTCCACCTGATTCATATTATGACTCACCATGAATTCCTTCATGCTATAGTAGAGTGCACTGTTATTGTCTCTCATTGTATTTTAGATTATCTCATCGAATCGTCTCATTGTGTTGTCTGTCAGTCTCTGTTTCTCCAAATATTTTTGAGGGTCCTTAGAAAAGATAGTTGGAGCTTTGATATTAGTGTAACTTCTGTTTTTATTCCAGTACTCTACAAAAGGGGTGTTGTAAGGAATACTTGAGCCTTAATCGTAATCTTGCATTTTACAATGCTGATGCTTTTATTAATATATTAAAAATAAATTACTAATTCGCGCAATTAGTTGCCCAAGGGGTTTTGGGGTTTTGGGG